GTAGGAGGAGCAGCCACGACACGAGTGCCGTGGTAAAGGCGGCGAGTAGTGGCGAACTCAGTGACTGCGGCAGTAAGGGCGGAGACAGAGGACAGAGAGGCACGAGGGTCCGTAACAAGAGAGGCGAGAACACGAGAGAGAACAGGGCGGTACGTGCGGTAGTAGTCAGTGACAGGAGTAGAGAGGGAAGCAGTGAGGGCCGACGTAGGAGGGGATGGAAACGCAGGCGGAGATGGACGAAGGGAACTAGAGCGAAACAGGACAGTACGAAGGTCAGTGACGGGAACAGGGGACGAGGGACGAGCACGAGGAGAGCGAGAAGCTTAGGTGTGAGAAAGAGGAGGGGACAACGGAGGCTGAGAACGGGGGAAAACAGTCGGGGTGGGGTCAGGAGGAGGAAACGTGGGACCGTAGACAGGAGGAGAGGGGAAGGAAGGAGGAGAAGGAGAGGGGAGACCAAGGGTCCGAAGGCCAGAGGCAGGAGGCGGAGGCAGCCGCTGCTGCTGCTGCTGTGGGTGCTGCTGTAGGGGCTACTGCTCCTGCTCCTGCTGCTGCTGCTGCTGCTGTTGCTGCTGCTGCTGCTGCTGCTGCTGCTGCTACTGCTGTTGCCTCTCTTGGGGGCCAGTGTAAAGTGTGTAGAGACCAGATCCCAGCTCCTGGCGAAAGGTGGCCAGGAGGGCATGTCACCGTCCACACAGGTCGCAGAGTCCCCAGAAGGCTCAAACCAAACAGCAAGGTGCTGACTCACGAGCGGCCGCACACCCACCAAGTTCCTAGAGAACGAGGGGACGTGGAAGCCCGTCAGTGTACCCGAGGGAACAGCCGGGCACGGAAGCGTAGTAGAGTGGAAAGCAATGACTGGTCCTGAAGTGGGATCAGCCAGTGCTATAGAGACTGGCGCAGGAAGCGGAGTAAGAGTCGTGTGGTCGCGGAAGAAACACTGCGAAGCTCCAGAGTCCAGGGTGAAAGACAGTGAAGCGTCCGCAAGTACCTAAGCAAGTACCTACACTAGCAACTGGCACAGGATCAACACTAGCACCTAAGCTAAAAACACGCGAGTAAACAGAGTCAGAAGCACTAGAGTCAACAACAACATACATAGCATGAGGAGTTCCTAAGAGATCAAGCAACTGAGAAGCAGACATGCCCCACAGAGCGGGACCGTGCGAGAGAACAAGGGGAAGCCAGTCAGGGGCAGGGCCATCTACGCCGTAGGTTGCACGAAGTGTGTAAGTGAGCTTTGCAAGCACTGACCCAATGGGTAGCAGCGGTCACAGTGGAGGCCGCTGCGAGTACCTGTCTGGATGAGGTAGGGGCAGGGAGGGTGGGCGTCACCACACGACAGCTGGCGCGGTCCTGACCCCTGCCTCGGAACATGCTGCTGCTGTGGCTGCTGCAAGAGGAGTGGCTGCTGCTGCTGCTGTCGCTGAGTCAGGTACCAAGCCGCCACTCCAGCACCTGCAGCTGACAGTCCCGCAGGTGCCCGACGAACCCGAGCGTCACCTCCACCAGCTGCAGCAGGGGAGTCACTAGAAGCTGCACGAGTCGCTCCACCAACACCTGCACTTCCGCCACCGCCACAAGCCACGCCACCTCCGCCGCCGCCGCTGCTGGCCGCACCCAGGCCGCCCCTCCTGCCACTGCTAGCTCTAGACCGCGCAAAAGTGGTGACAGCAGCGGCAGTCTCGTCAGTAGTGGCAGTGGTGAGGGAGGAAGGAAAGGTGGGCAGCTAAGGGACAGTGCACCCGTGGAACAGTGGGGGGGGCACAGCGTCAGAGGCGGAGGCTACCGAGCGGAGGTTGCTCTCGACGTCCTTGAGGGCAGACTCAAGGACGCCGATAGTGAGCTCGCTAGGGTGCTTCAGAAGAAGCACGTCACGAACCATGGCAAGGCGGTCAGGGAGGCTAGTGACGATGAAATAAATATTTATTGCCATGGGGGGAGGACCAGTGCAAGCTGTGCGTCAGTGCAGGCAGCGCGGTAGCTAGAATCCAGTGAACGCAGGTGAGCGATCAAGTCACCATAACGCTCAAACGAGGCAAGGTCAGGAAACAGGAATGGGAGGAACAGGCGACCAAGAGAGACAGTGGTGGGAGTGGAGTAGCGAGTCTTGATCACAGTCAGGAACTCACTAGCAGTGCGAACCTGGGTGAAGTGGGTCTCCTCAGACTCAAAAAGGAGGCTCCTGAGGGCGATGCAGGCCGCGTCGTCGCGCGACTTCCATGCTGTCAGAGCTGCGGAGATTCACTCTACAAGGTAGAGAGCTAGACTACGGGGAGGGTTGGCACGAACTACAAGAAGTGATCGTAGCTTTGCTTAGTTCCTTAGTGCTTGCACATTCACGAGAGAAATCAGCAAGAGTTTCAACTAGCAAAGTTGGGATTACAGAATGATTGACCAAGCAATGACAGAATGGACTACATCAGGCACCTAGCAACTCTGCAGCTAGCCTGGTCGACCGCCAGCACTGCATGGTCGACCGCGTGCCAGCGTTGCGTAGAGGAGCCGCGCCAGCACTGCAGAAGGGCGACCTGCCAGCAGAGCAGGTCGACGGCGTGCCAACGCTGCAGCAGGGCGGCTGTCCAGCGTTGCCCCGTAGAAGACAGCAGTGCGCACGCTCGCAGGTGTGCGTAGACGATTGGCCCGACTTGTATTGCTGTGCATCCATCGGCTGTTGTCTGCGCCTGACGAGCCACATCGACTTCAGGATACCAGCCCGAAGTCGCCTTCGTCATCGCGACCTCGACGACGTTCGCGTGCCTCCGCAGAACTCGCCGAGCAGGTTACCTGGTCGACCTGGACACCACCAGGTGCTCCGGTCGACCACCAGGTCCCCCGGTCGACCACCAGGTGCCTCTGGTCGACCACCAGGTGCTCCGGTCAACCAACAAGTGCCCTCGGTCGACCACAGCTCCTGTCGAGCTGCCCCCTAGTCGACGGACCCCTTCCGTCGACCAGAATTCACAGCTGATGTCGCCAAGCTCCCCTCGTCGATCGTTGCTCACATGTCAGGTCGACGGACTGCTCCGTCGACTTACCCGTCGAACTGGCACTCCTGGTTGACGGCCCACCCGTCGCCCAGCCCAGTCAGCTGCACCCGTCGAGCACCCCTGGTCGACGGAAACCCCACAGTGACACCCTGCAGCTCGACGAAGCCCGTCGAGCAGCTCCTTCACTGCGAACGGTCGGCTGCTTCTCCCGTATATCCTACCAAGTTGTCGGCGTTGCCCAAGCGAGGGCGGGGCCAACACTCCATTCCCGTTAACAAGAGCCGCGCGCTGACGTGCAAAACGCTCTCTGTCCACAGCGGTGGGGTAAGCGCCTAGGGGTTCAGGATCAGAGGGCGCAAGAAGGTCACCGGAAGCATGCGCCCAAAGGGACTCATCAGCCTGACACTGACTCTCTAGGAGGCGCTGCGCACGCAGGAGCCAGACAGAGAACTCAAGCGACCTACCCTTGGCGTCAAAGCGCAGGACTCTAGGCGTCACCATAGCGGATGCGGAGGGTGGGAGCTACGGCTGCCGGCAGGCAGGGCGCTACAGGACGAGTAGGGCGCGACGTGACGGGCGAGGGGACGTGGCGGGACGGGCGCGATGCGACCGGACGGGCAGACGCTGCGGGCGCGAGGGGAGGGGACGGGACGGGCGCGACGCGACGGGACGGGCAGGCGCGGCGGGCGCAAGGGGACGGGACGGGACGGGCGCGACGGGACGGGCTGGTGCGACGAGCGCGAAGGGATGGGACGGGATGGGCGCGACGCGACGGGATGGGCAGGCGCGGCGGGCGCAAGGGGACGGGACGGGACAGGCGCGACGGGACGGGACGGGCAGGCGCGGTGGGCGCAAGGGGACGGGACGGGACGGGCGCGATGGCCGTTAGGGAACTGGACGGGCGCTAGGGGACGGGACGGGCGCGACGGGCGCTAGGGGACGGGACGGACGCAACGGGCGCTAGGGGACGGGACGGGCACGACGGTAGGGCGCTACAGGCGTGATAGGCTGAAGAGAGAGGAATGGGATCCAACAGGATCCTAACATTGGTGATACCATGTCAAAAGCTGAAAGATGTGTTATTACCGTGAGTTGGGGTACATATGCCTAACCCTAACAACTGTATCCCACATAACAAGCCTCACTACGGGTCTTGTCTCGTCAACACATGTCAACCGAGTATGAGACAACATTGACTTGGCGCGCATCAATTAAGTGGATCAAACTCCCTATTTCATGAAGATGCTGACTAAGATGTCCCTTGACCACAGGGTGGCCACAAAAGGCCAGGAATGGTTTGATATGGGGCGGAATTGCGTCAGCTTGTTTATCAATAGACACGTGGTGGAAATGTTTGCCCGTAAGGATGAAGCGAGAAACAAATGTGGATGTTGCTGTCAGAATCCCAGTCACTAACCACTGGGATAAAAGGGCTTGTTATAGTAGCGGGTGAGTGCGCCCATAACCCCCCAGGCCAACGTGCCTGTAACCCTTCCCTAGGATCAATCGGGGATCACCAGTGGACCTCTGACACCCCCCCGCACTGGGATGCCCGAGGTGCACACACCGGGATTCGAACCCGAGACCTTCGCTCTGATATCATGTCAGAATCCCAGTCACTAACCACTGGGATAAAAGGGCTTGTTATAGTAGCGGGTGAGTGCGCCCATAACCCCCCAGGCCAACGTGCCTGTAACCCTTCCCTAGGATCAATCGGGGATCACCAGTGGACCTCTGACAGTTGCGTGAAGACGCAAAGGGGGAACTGCCCACGCGAGAGGATGAAAGTTCTATTCCCTGAGCGATTTGTTTTTGCGACATCGATCAAGAGAGTCATTCCCCTCGATTCTAGGTGTACGGAAGGATGCAGCCTAATATGGTCGTGAGTGGCTCCGGAAATAACTTTTAAGAGCGTGAAATTCGCGATGGATGGTGTAGCGGCATAACCAAAACCGTGGAGCACATCATCATCACAATCTAATCGGCGGTCGCTGCTGGGGTGGAAGCTAAATGAACGTTCAGCGAAAAACACGACGAGTAACCTCTTTAGACGAGTTTCCTAGCGAAGCTTGTTCTCCTTACCCGCACACCCTCGGTTCCATCCCGTCCCTCCCTCCCATCCCAGATCCCTCCAACCTGAGTCTCGTCATGGCTGCTTGGCTGGCGTTACCTTTGATATGGCTGGTGGCTTCTATCCATGATGCGCGGCATAGAACCTAGTAGCCGTTTAGTCTATCGGAAAAGAAGCTGTCATGATAGCGGTTGCGAGGTCTCGTTGCGACGGCGCGGGAGGTGGTGATGATGTTTTCGCTGGGCTCGGCTGTTTCAGTCCAGATACGACGCCTTGTGCAAGGACTTACGGAAAGCAACTATAAGGCCGTTGTTTCTGAACTTAGTCAGGTAGGCTTGTCAATTGTTAACGTTATGCGTTAGGCCTTTTTTATCTTCACATAATTAAGAAAAGTAAATGGAGACCTATTCGTAACTTTTTACCAATCTGCTGTATGTTTTTACCGTTTTTTCAGATTGCAGATCTTTCTGGACCGGAGGCGAATCAGCTTATTCTCCATTCCTGTCTGAACGTCCTCTTTAGCGACGACCAAGGCGGCGATGAGAGCGTGGAATTGAAGCATCACCTGCTAGCGTCCACATTAGAGTGCCTTTCGCGTAGATCCGATTTTCCGACGACCGTAGCTCGAGCTCTAGGCCATTTCTCCGAACCTTACAAGGGTTTCCTAAAGATTTCTTTAGCGATTATCAGTCTTCCTGTTGCTGTTCAGCTCCGCTTAGGCGTTGGTCTTGCTGACGTCGGTTCTCCGTTTTGGAAGGAAGAAGGTAATATTTTTTTCCTCTCGTTACCAGCTTTGCGGTTAGTTTCTCTCAGCGCGACATTTTCTTAACAATCGATTACAATGTCTCTTAACAATTGTTCGTATTGTGCAGCTCTTGACTTAATCGACTGCGTGATTGGCGGGTTGCCCGAAGCCGAAGTTTCCGCACTACCAGGCGATTTGTTTTGGAGCGTGTTTCTGACGTGCTCGTCGTATCCGAAGCTCAAGGAGCACGCCCTCATCTTGGAGGAATCGCTCTGCTGGCGTCTCACCAAAGACCCGTTCCCAGTTTACCTCCTTCCGTTCCTAGAAAAGAGCGGTCCGCTCGGGAAAGATTTTGTGTACGTTTTCGTACTGGCTTGTATCTTTTCGGAAGGAATTGCACTTTCAGGCAATCGTTTTTTTTTTTTTTTCCTAAACACTATGTACAAGGTCTCCAACCACGTCGTTCTTGTGACGTTTGTTTTGCGCAGTGACCTGCCTCGAGATTGGTCCGCCTTCGTCAATTCCATCATGGCGTCATCTTCCGCGTCCACTTCCGCGTCCGCTTCCGCTTCCGCTTCCAAGGCAAAGGATATGGCGTCAGCGATGGAGGAGCTAGGGTTTGGCTGCACGGACACGGTGGAGCACTGCAAGACCGTGCTCAAGGAGCACAGCGCCTGCAGCAGCATCAGCGAGGCGGACGTCGCGCGGGTCATGGGCGTGGTGGCCAAGGGGTCCGTGGAGACGCGCGGTGGCGGCGCTGGGCCGCTCACGTTTTGGAATGTGGATGTGCTAGTTGAGGCTATTGTTCAGCTGGTGAGCGTTCGCACCCTTTCGGGGCGCATCAAAAGCGCGGGTCACGGGGGTGGTGGTCAAGGGGTCGGTGGAGACTCGCGGAGGTGGTGGTGGTATCGCTGGGGCTACCTTTTGAGACGCGTTACAAAACGCGTCCTCCTCTAACCCTCGTTTCTCTCCACCACCCTGTTGTGCGCTGCTGAGGCAGGCACCGAGCCTGTTTTTGAGGCGAAAATATAGCGTGTCGTCTTTTGTTCCAACATTCTTTCTTTTTTGCGTGTGTGAGACAGGCGCCAAAAGCGATTCTGAGATTCTTAAATCATTGTGTCTTTTTTTCATAAAAACAATCCCCTGTTGTGCACCCCTGAGGCAGGCGCCGAGGCTGAGTTGGTCGTCGGTGATCAACCATCTGGACTACCCTGGTTTCTTTGTCAAGGATCAGAAGGGCTTCAGCGCGCTCGTGCTCATGCACTCCAAAGCCACCAAGGTATGTATGCGAGTCAGTGAGTCGCTGTTGAGAGGTCTCAAAGGGCCCAACCGCCTTTTTGTGGACGCGAAAGTGTCTATCTCGTGTGTGCCATACCATCCATGGCTTTTGAAGCTCGTGTGTTCCCTGTCCACAGCTCGTCTCGCCGCCACGTTGTGAATTGCCGCCCTTTTTTCGCGGTGTCATTCCCTGAGTGACTCACTGCACCACAAGACGATTGCTCTTCTCGCTTGGAATCCCCACATGGAAGCGTCCTCGTTTCCCTGCTGTTGCTCGCTCTCATTCTTCGTCATCCTTGTTGTTGGCTTGACTCCATTTCCCCTCTCTTTTGCTCTCGCTCTTATCCCTCCTTGGCGTCACCACAATCACCGCAGGAACTCTTCCCCTCGCCCTCAGTATGCGGCAAATCGTGGGTGAACACGGAGAGACATCTCTTCTTCCTCCACCCCCTATTAGACATCGAAGCTGCCTCACCATTCTCCCACCGTTCTTGCTCCCGCGTATTCTTCCCTGGCAATCCCCTCAGGAGCTCTTCCCCCTGCCATCCGTATGTGGCAAGCTGTGGGCGAACGCGGAGGGGCAGCTCTCCTTCCTCCGCCACGCGGTCTCCGCGCCCCCCGAAGTCTTCACCTTCGCGCACTCCCCCCGCCAAACCCCCCCCATGGACAACCTCCACGGGCACAAGCTCCCCACGGGCACCCCCAACTGCGCCTGGGTCTCCCTAGACCTCCTAGAGGCCCTCTGTAGGGTCGGCGAGACCGGGAGGAAGGCGGAGGTGCTGGAGGTGTTGGGATACCCGATAAAGCACTGCCCGGAGGTGCTTATAGTGGGTCTGGCACAGGTGAAGACGTCCGGAGGGGGGGTGATTCAGAGGGAGGTGCTGGGGGCGCTGGTTCCGCTGTATCTGGCGAATAATCCGAACTCGAGTATTGTGCTGCATGCGCTGTGGGGAGTGCGGGGGGGAAAGGACGTGGTGATGCAGGCGATGGTGGGAGTTCACGCCAGCGACCCCTCCAGTATTGCTCGGCTCCTTGACGTCTGCCAAGACCTCAAGGTGAGGACAGGTTATACTGAGTATGGACTCGGCGCTGTAACGGGTACGCATGAAGCATTGTTCTGCATGCGCTGTGGGGGGTGGCCGGGGGAAAGGACGTGGTGATGCAGGCGATGGTGGGAGTGCACGCCAGCGACCCCACCAGTATTGCACGCCTGCTCGACGTGTGCCAGGATCTCAAGGTGAGGGCAAGTTGTACTGAGTATGGACTAGGCTCTGTAATGGGATGTATGGAGTATTGTTCTGCATGCGCTGTGGGGGGTGCCCGGGGGGAAGGACGTGGTGATGCAGGCGATGGTGGGAGTTCACGCCAGCGACCCCACCAGTATTGCACGCCTGCTCGACGTGTGCCAAGACCTCAAGGTGAGTCTGAAAGATGGGTGCCGGTTTTATACAGAGTCTGGACCAGTCTTCATTTGGAGTTTGTATATACCATAGCATGCGCTACAGGAGAGGGGGTATGGGGGGGGCAATCATAGGCGGGATGGTAAGGGGGAATGTGTGGAGCAATGGGCTGCATGTGATGTAGATGGCCAGCAAGGAAATGGTGACATGACAAAGGTCACAGGCATCCTCCTGACCTTTCAGTCGACTCAAAAGTCACCTCGAGATGGTAAGGGGGAATGTGTGGAGCAATGGGCTGCATGTGGTGTGGGTGGTCAGCAAGGAGATGGTGACAAAGGTCTGAGATTTCCTCCTGACCTAGGTGCACTTAGTCTCCCCCCCTCCCCCACCCCCTCCTCCCCCGTCCGCCCCGCTTATAATCATAACGAGTTTTTCTATGTGATGGCTAATTTGCAGGTTCTCTCAGTGGTGCTGGAGAGCACACCCTTCTCTTTCTCCCTGGACCTCGCTTTGCTCGCCCCGCCGACCTCGCGTTTTGAAGCTTCCTCCGTACCAATTCTACGCTCTACCTTTGGTGGTTGATTTGCAGGTCCTCTCAGTGGTTTTGGAGAGCACGCCGTTCTCTTTCTCCCTGGACCTCGCTTCGCTAGCCTCTCGACGCGAGTACCTCAACCTTGAGAAGTGGCTGCAGGAGGCGCTCACTCTGCACCGCGACTCCCTCTTCAAGGTGGGATGTGGAAGGTTTGCTGTTGTGCTGCAAGCATCTCTTGCTGTCGTGCTGCAAACTGCAAGCACCTCTTGCTGTTGTGCTGCAAACCGCTGCAAGCGCCTCTCTCTGCAAGCACCTTGTTGTCGTGAGTACCTCAACCTCGAGAAGTGGCAGCAGGAGGCGCTCACTCTGCGACTCCCTCTTCAAGGTATGGTGGGGGTTTGGGTTGCTGTTGTGCTGGAAACACTCTCGCTACGAGCACCTCTCACCGCAAGCACGTCTTACTGCAAGCGCCTCTCGCCGCGAGTACCTCAACCTCGAGAAGTGGCTGCAGCCTGCAGGAGGCGCTCACTCTGCACCGAGACTCCCTCTTCAAGGTGGGATATGCACGCAGATGAGATGCTTGGCGTGTCTGCAATTTCGAAGAGCCAAGCTGGTGTAGAACAGAACAGCTAGGAGGCCAGATACAGTGAACCAACTTGATCTCTCACTCATGCTCTACCTCTCACCCCCTCCCTTCTCACTCCCTTTTTGCTTCTCGCGGCCTCTTTCCCAATGCAGGCGTGTCTGCAGTTCCTGAGGGCCAAGCTGGTGCAGGACAACCAGGACGCCAGCGCGCAGAGAATCAACCTGTCACTGGAAACGCTCGCCATCTTCTTCAAGGCAAGCTAACCGTGCTGCTTCCCCATGCTAACCGTCTTATTCTTTCCCCGAACAAGCCCACTCGCGGTCTGCCTCCTTGCTACCACCCTCGCTTGTCCCCCCCCCCTCCCCCGCTTCCCCTCTTCCGCCTTTCCCCTGCCTTTCCCATCCCCCGTCACGCCCTGCCTTCTCTTCCTGATCCCCCATCACGCCCTCCCATGGCCACACCCTCTACTCCGCAGGTCCTCCAAGCCAACGCGACGCAGCTGCAGGCGCCCGAGCTGGGCGACGAGCTTAAAGCCCTGTACGCGTCCGCGCTGCAGCTGCATCCGGCGCTGCACACCGTAGCAGTGCCCGAGCAGGCCCCTGCCGACGTGTTTGCGAGCGACATAGAGGAAGAGGCCAACGCGTATTTTCAGAAGATATACGTGGGGCAGTTGAGCATTGAGGAGGTGGTGGACATGCTGAAGCGCTTCAATGGTTCCTCTGTGCAAAGGTGGGTTCTGGAAGAAAGTGCATGAGGCAATCTGGTGCATTGCATCTGGTGTATTGCATCTGGTGCATTGCATCTGGTGCATTGCATCTGGTGCATTGCATCTGGTGCATTGCATCTGGTGCATTGCATCTGGTGCATTGCATCTGGTGCATTGCATCTGGTGCATTGCATCTGGTGCATTGCATCTGGTGCATTGCATCTGGTGCATTGCATCTGGTGCATTGCATCTGGTGCATTGCATCTGGTGCATTGCATCTGGTGCATTGCATCTGGTGCATTGCATCTGGTGCATTGCATCTGGTGAATTGCATCTGGTGAATTGCATCTGGTGCATTGCATCTGGTGCATTGCATCTGGTGCATTGCATCTGGTGCATTGCATCTGGTGCATTGCATCTGGTGCATTGCATCTGGTGCATTGCATCTGGTGCATTGCATCTGGTGCATTGCATCTGGTGCATTGCATCTGGTGCATTGCATCTGGTGCATTGCATCTGGTGCATTGCTTCTGGTGTATTGCATCTGGTGCATTGCATCTGGTGTATGGCAGTGTAGCTGGGAGCTTGTAGAAAGCCAGTTGGCAAGGACGGGTCGCTGAGCTGTTAGGGGCAGGGCTTGCGGGGCAGCCAAGCGTTGAAGGGGTGGTGGATATGCGCAAATGCTTCAACGGTCCGTCAATGCTTTGGTCTGGAGTATGGTTTAACGAGTAGAGGTGTGAATCTAGTCAACAACTTTTCGATTAGAGTGACCTCATAAAAAGTGTGCATGGTTCTCGTCCATGTTCCCCCTTGCCCTCTTTTCCCCCCTGCCAGGGAGCAAGACGTGTTCGCGTGCATGATTCAGAGCCTCTTTGACGAGTACTGCTTCTACTGAGTCACCTTGACATCTGTGCCCACTGTCTCTTCCGTTTCCCCCTCTCCCTCTTTGCCCCCCTGCCAGGGAGCAAGACGTGTTCGCGTGCATGATTCAGAGCCTCTTTGACGAGTACTGCTTCTACTGAGTCACCTTGACATCTGTGCCCACTGTCTCTTCCGTTTCCCCCTCTCCCTCTTTGCCCCCCTGCCAGGGAGCAAGACGTGTTCGCGTGCATGATTCAGAGCCTCTTTGACGAGTACCGCTTCTTCCCGCGCTACCCCGACAAGGAGCTGCGAATCACGGCTGTCCTCTTCGGTGAGTGGCGTTTTTGCTGGTATGGTTACGTAAGAGCACAGCACATAAAAAATTGCTGATGCCCTGGGAAGCGCCAGCTGGGCTTGTCTCGTCAATCACCCTTTACCGCGCTCGAGCAGTTCCACCAGCGCCTGCCCGAGTGGCCGCCCTACTGCACGCACATCCTCCACATCCCTCCCCGAGGCGCCTCACTTACCCCCCCCCCCCCCCCCCCCTCTTCCCACTCCCGTCTTTCTTCCCTTCTCCCCCTTACCCCGTTCCTCTTCCCCCTTCACTTCCTCCCTCTCCCAGGTTCCCTGGGGAAGCACCAGCTGGTCTCAACGATTACTTTGGGCATCGCTTTATGCTGTGTGCTGGATGCTCTCAAGAAGCCGCCCGACTCCAAGATGTTCTCCTTTGGCGTCACTAACCCCCACTCTCCTCCCCCTCCCCCTTCCCTTCCTCCTCCCTCTCCTCCTCCTTCTCCCTCACCCCGTTCCTCTGCCAGGTTCCCTGGTGAAGCACCAGCTAGTATCGTCTATAACGCTCGGCATCGCCCTGCGCTGTGTGCTAGACGCGCTGAAGAAGCCGCCTGACTCCAAGATGTTCTCCTTTGGCATCACCGCGCTGGAGCAGTTCCACCAGCGCCTGCCCGAGTGGCCGCCCTACTGCACGCACATCCTCCACATCCCCCACCTGCAGGACGTGCACCCGCGCCTGTATGCGTTAGTGCAGGCTGCGGCAGCGGCGCCGGCGAGTAAGGGCGTGGCTGGGGAAGGTTTATCCGGTGCAGGCGGTGCTGCTGCTGCTGCTGGCGGTGGTGGTGGTGGCGGTGCTGCTGGTGCTGGTGGTGCTGGTGGCGCGGGAGGGAATGGGGAGGGTGGGGTGGTGTCAGGGGCAGGGGCAGGGGCAGGTGGTCTTGGTGCTGTTAGTGGTGCGGCTGCAGCTGGTGCTGCTACTGGTGCTGCTGGCGGTGTTCCCCCTGGTGGGGCTGGTGGTGGAGGCGGGGGAGGGGATGGTG